GGGTATCTTTGAGGTGAAGTCCACTGCCGGTGACACTCATTTGGGCGGTGAGGACTTCGACAACCGTCTGGTGAACCATTTCGTCCAGGAGTTCAAGAGGAAGTATAAGAAGGATATCACCAACAACCCTAGGGCTCTCCGTCGTCTCCGTACCGCCTGCGAGCGCGCTAAGAGAACTCTCTCGTCCACGGCTCAGACCACCATTGAGATCGACTCGCTGTACGAGGGTATCGACTTCTACTCCACCATCACCCGTGCTAGATTCGAGGAGCTCAACATGGACATGTTCCGCAAGGTTAGTGTCTCTATTTCCTCCCCGTCAAGTCATTTCTCCATCTACTGCCTGATTCCATTGTGATTTTGTCCCACTTTTCGAGCATCATTTCTGACTCTCTTTGCTCTTGCTCTTGTGTTTCCAGTGCATGGAGCCAGTTGAGAAGTGCCTCAAAGACGCGAAGATGGACAAGGGTGCCATTCACGACGTGGTGCTGGTCGGCGGGTCCACGCGTATCCCCAAGGTGCAGCAGCTCCTGCAGGACTTCTTCAACGGCAAGGAGCTCTGCAAGAGCATCAACCCCGACGAGGCCGTCGCCTACGGTGCTGCCGTGCAGGCGGCTATTCTCAGCGGCGAGGGCAACGAGAAGGTCCAGGACCTGCTGCTGCTCGATGTCACTCCCCTGTCCCTGGGTCTGGAGACTGCTGGTGGTGTCATGACCGTTATTATTCCCAGGAACACCACGATCCCCACGAAGAAGGAGCAGGTGTTCTCTACCTTTTCCGACAACCAGCCTGGTGTGCTGATCCAGGTGTTCGAGGGCGAGCGCGCTAAGACCCGCGATAACCATCTGCTCGGCAAGTTCGAGCTGTCCGGCATCCCGCCTGCTCCTCGCGGTGTTCCCCAGATTACCGTCTGCTTCGACATTGACGCTAACGGTATCCTGAACGTCAGCGCCGAGGACAAGACCACCGGCCAGAAGAACAAGATCACGATCACCAACGACAAGGGTCGCCTCAGCAAGGACGAGATTGAGAAGATGGTTCAGGACGCGGAGAGGTACAAGGAGGACGACGAGCAGCACAAGAAGAAGGTTGAGGCGAAGAATTCCCTGGAGAATTACGCCTACAACATGCGCAACACCATCAAGGATGACAAGATCGCGAGCAAGCTTGCCTCTGATGACAGGAAGAAGATTGAGGACGCAGTGCAGTCAACCATTGACTGGCTCGACCAGAACCAGCTTGCGGAGGTTGATGAGTTCGAAGACAAGATGAAGGAGCTGGAGGGCATCTGCAACCCCATCATTGCCAGGATGTACCAGGGTGCGGGAGGTGCTCCTCCTGAGGCTGACATGGATGGCGCTGGTGCCGGATTTGGTGGCGGCGCTTCCGGTGGTGGTGGTTCGGCTGGGCCCAAGATTGAGGAGGTCGACTAATTTGGGAAACCTTGTTGATAGATTTGATTAACCCTGTATTGCATTCAAATTTTGAAGCTAAGTCACATTTCTCTCATCCCTGCTTGCACATCTCCACATAAGTGGATGTACACGAAACATGCGATTTAACATTAATAACACTTAGTAGGGTATGGTGAGAGCGTAATATGATGTGACTAGCTGAAATCTCTGCAGCTCTTGCCGCTGTAGTTGAAAACACGCTCCTCCCACTCCCCCAACAGTGAATGTCATTCTGAAGGAGTGTATGTGTTGACCAACAGTGAATGTAAGATAATGCCTGCCTACAATACCACTTCTTTGTGTAAAATGTACTGTTCTAGCAACGTTGTGGCTTGTAATGCGGATAAACTGCAACGTTGAACTAGCAGACAAAGTCCTGTCTCCCTAGTCCTGACTGATGAGTCTGGCCGGCGGGAACACTTTTTGCTAGTTGGCCCGACCCCGTCTTTCCGGTTTTCTCGTCGCTATCTAGCCTCAGTCGGTACTCTAAATACAGCCTACCTGTAACGGATCTGCGCAGCTTACCTATGGATGCTTACTGTCAGAATGAGGAATGGTGTTTCCATTGATGTTGGTTGGGGTACATATGACAAACCCTAACTTCTGTACCCCCTAAGACAAACCTCACTACAGGCTACAACATTTGACACACCCCCATAGCCTAAGTGAGGGGTGTCTAGCAAAATAAAAAAGAGTACGGTCACAAGACCAGTCCAAAAGAAAACAAAGCTCAGGGTGGATCACAACGTCACCACACTCTCTGAGCACAAGCAACAGTGGCCACAAGGCCAGTCCAAGAGATCACAAGTATATATATAGCAAGAGTACAGACGAAGCAGGCAATAAACTCAAGCCTACACATGACTAGAACCTGTGTCAACAAGGCCTAATTGCACACAACACCTCTGGTGGTCACGAGGCGGAAGCGCCTTGGTGAAGATGTCTGCAGTGTTGGCCTCGGACTCCACAAAATCGAAGCGAGCCTGTCCACGTCTCTGCAACTCTCGCAGAAGAAAGTACCTGACGTGAATGTGCTTCACTCTGCTCTCCAGTCGCGGCTCACGACAGAGGAGGATCGACGCCTTGTTGTCAGTGAACAAGGTCGGTGCAGAGCTCGGCCGCTCACCAAGGTCGGCGAGCAAGAAGGTCAACCAACGCAACTCCTGTGCCGCCATGGCACCAGCGTAAATCTCAGCCTCAGCTGTAGAGGTCGAGACAGAAGAGGAGCGCATGGAACGCCAGGAAACAGCTCCAGAACCCAGACTGAAACAGTACCCCTGAGTAGACCTGTGAGTCTCAGCGTCGTCAGCGTAAGAGGAGTCACAGTGACCAGTGAGTACGACAGACTGCTGCCCTCCAAGAACTAGCCCCACGCCTGATGCAGTCGCTAGGTACTTCGCCACCCTCACAGCTGCCGTCCAGTGAACAGGACGGTGTCTCCCTGGCGCAACAAAGCGCGCAAGGATGCTGAGAGGGAAGGCGAGGTCCGAGCGAGTACAAGTCATCAGGTACATGAGGCAACCCACAAGCTCTGCGTAGGGACCACTAGGCTCAAACGGCTCGTCAGGAAAGGGACCAGTGAGTCTGTGGTCAACAGCGAGAGGTGTGCGCTGTACGGTGGAGTGCTGAAGCCCGAACCGCTGAAGGACCTGCTGCACCATGTGTGACTGTGAGAGTGTAATGGTGCGAGCGGCTCTGTCCCTGGTGATCTGCAGGCCAAGGTAGTGGCGCAGCTCACCAAGATCAGTGCACGTGTGTCTCTTCTGCAATTCGGACTTCACGTCTGCCAAAGAAACCCTGTCCGGAGTGGCGAAAACGAGGTCATCGACGTAAACCAGAACAAAGAACGGTGTGGAGCCACGACGAACGAACAGCGACGGGTCGGCAGAAGGCGGCTGGAACCCAAGGTCAGAGAGGGTAGAACGCAGAGTGTCGTGCCACTCACGAGGGGCCTGGCGAAGACCGTAAACAGGTCGCCTCAGCCTCCACTGGGTCCCAGGAGGGAAGGTGCCAGTGAAGGCCGAGGGACGACGCAACCAGACCTCCTCGTGTAGGCTGCCCTGAAGGAAAGCAGTGGAGAAGTCGAGAGAGTATAACTCGTAGTCTCTCTGTGCTGCTACGTGTAGTAACACCCGAAGAGTGGTCATCTTTGGGGTAGGTGCGAAGGTCTGAAAGAAGTCAACTCCCTCACGCTGACTGAAACCTCTAGCCACGTAGCGCGCCTTGAAGACCGGGGGAGATCCCGGTGGCCGCTTCACCCTGTAGATCCACATGCCGTCGACTACGTTCGCCCCAGGGGGGGGAACCTCATCGACGTAGGTGCCTGTGGATCTGTAGGAGGCCATCTCTGCGTCCATGGCAGCTCTCCACTGAGAGGCCCAAGGCCCTGACACTGCCTCAGCGTAAGTGCGAGGAGTCGGAATGTCAAGGGCGTCGGGGTCACCCTCAGGGGCGAGGAGCATGGCACAGAGATGAGGGGAAGCGGCCGCCAGGAACTCTAGCTCAAACTGCCTGTCCTCTAGGGCGTCACAGCCAAGGGCAGACACACCCCCGACGGCCAGAGGACTGGTAGGAGGAGCAGCCACAAGCGTGGTGGCGTAGTCAAGGCGGCGGGTAGCGGCAAAGTCAGTAACCGTGGCAGTAAGAGCAGACACAGAGGACACAGAGGCACGAGGGTGAGTAACAAGAGAGGCGAGAACACGAGAGAGAACAGGACGGTACGTGCGGTAGTAGTCAGTGACAGGAGCAGGGAGCGACACGGTGAGGGCCGACTCAGGAGGAGATGGAAGCACAGACTGAGACGGACGAGGTGGACTGGAACAAAGTAAGGCAGTACGAAGGTCAGTGAAGGGAACAGGAGACGAGGGACGAGCACGAGGGGAGCGACGAGTAGCCCAAGAACGAGACGGAGGAGGAGAGGACAAAGGCGGAGAACTAGAGAAAGCAGCGGGGGAGGAGTCAGGCGGAGGAAACGTGGGACCGTAGACAGGAGGAGAGGCGGAGGAGGGAGGAGAAGGGGAGGGGAGACCTAGGGCCCGAAGACCCGAGACAGGAGGAGGAAGTGGCTGCTGCTGCGACTGCTGCTGCTGCGGACGCGGCTGCTGCTGGGACTGCTGCTCCTGCGGGTCCAGCTGCTGCTGCTGCTACGCCAGCCGCTGTAACTCCCTCTCCTCTCTCTCCAACTCCAGCTGCTCGTCACGCGCACGGCGAACACGAGCCTGGTGCCTAGTCGGGTAGGGGTGGGGGGGCGGAGTAGTGTCCGAAGCAGCGGCAGCTCCAGAGTCAACCCCCGAAGAACCAGGCGCACCAGAACCCGAAGCAGGCGCACCCTCACCCCCAGAGGGAGCACCCCCAGAGTCCGCGCGGCCAGCACCGGCTCCCGGACGACAAGAGTCCTCTGCACCCACCGGGTCAGCTCCAACTCCAGAACCAGAAACTCCAGTGCCTACTCCAGCTCCACCTCCAGCTCCAACACCAGCTCCAACTCCAGCACCCCCAGAACCAGAAACCGGTACAGGAACAGGCGCAGCACCAACCTCTCGAGAGCTAGCACCAGCTGCACGCTGCGAGGAGGACTGTGGGGAGGGAGGCTGTACCGGAGGGGCTACCGAAGGAGGAGGGGTAGCCTGGGAGACACCTGACGGGGCTGGGCCAGGGGGGGGAGGCTGTACCGGGGGAGCAGGAGGGGGAGCGGCAGTCAGGAAGAGCGGGGGAGGAGGAACCGGGAGACCTCGTCTGGGGTACCTGACGTAGTACGGAGTGGACTCCTCGAAACGGACGTCACGGGAGTCAAAGAACCGGTGAGAGGGAGGGTGGTAAAAGGTGAAGTCAGAGGAGTCCTCAAGGAAACCAAGGAAGACACAGGGGACGGCACGAGGCGAGAGCTTGTCCGCGGAGGTGTCGCGGACAAGAGCCAAGCACCCCCAGACACGAAACCGCGACGCTACACCAGGGGACCCTGTCCAAAGACTGGTCGGTGAAACCTCTGGTCGAGAGACACGTGGCCAGAGGTTCAGCTGGTGCGCGGCGTACCTGACCGCGTAGGGCCACAGAAAATGGGGGGCACAGGCGTGAGTCAGGGAGGTGCGGGCGATCTCCATGACCAGGCCTATGCGGCGCTCAGCAACCCCATTCTGCTGTGGGGACTCTGGAAGCGTCCAGGACTGACGAATGCCCTGCTCGCGACAGAATCCAGCGAGAATGCCGGAGCGAAACTCACCCCCACGGTCGGAGTGGAGACAGCTGACACGACGACTACGAGTGTCCTCGGTGGTGAGCAACCACCTGATCAGCGTAGAAGTCACCTCAGACTTCTTCGCCAGTGGGAACACTGTGGTGTAGCGGGAGAAGTCGTCAACGACCACCAGAAAGTAACGCTCACGCTCAGGGCCTAGACGAGGGGCGGGGCCCCAGACGTCCAAGTGAAGCGTCTCAAAAGGCTCGGTGGCCGGACGAAGGGAGGAGGAGTGAGGGGTGGCGCGCAGCCTACCCTCGACGCAGGGACGACACGGCGGCGCAAGCGAAGGGGGCAGCGACGGCAAGACACGTGGGAGGCCTAGGACAAGACGCTGACTAGACATAGCGCGCAGACGAGGAAGGGACGGGTGCCCCATCCGGTGGTGCCACAGAACGGTGGGGTGGGCAAGCGACCGGCAGGAGCACGACGCAGCGACTGGAACAAACGTAGGAACCTGACACGACACAGACACCTGGGGGGACGAAGCAACCTGGTGAGACACGGGGACCCGAACGGGGGGGGGAACCGGGGGCAGTGGCAGTAGGGGGGGCTGCTGGTGCGGCGGCTGGTGCTGCTGCTGCTGCTGCTGCTGCTGCTGCTGCGGCTGCGGCTGCTGCTGCTGCTGCGGCTGCTGCTGCTGCGGCTGCTGCTGCGGCGCACGCGGGCCAGTGTGAAGAGTGTAGAGACCCGAGCCCGGCTCAGCAGTAAAGGTAGCAAGAGGCTGGTAAGAGTCTCCGTCAACACACACTGCAGTCTCTCCAGAAGGCTCAAACCACACACCCACGTGCTGACTCACGAGGGGTCGCACGCCCACCAAGTTCCGGGAGAACGAGGGGACGTGAAACCCAGTGAGAGACCCGGAGGGAGCAGCAGGACACGGTAAAGTGGTAGTGTGACGGGCAGTGACTAGTCCCGTAGTGGGATCAGCCAACGCTACAGAAACAGGCGCAGGAAGTGGTGTAAGTGTCGTGCTGTCCCAGAAGAAGCAGTGGGAGGCTCCAGAGTCCAGTGTGAACGACAGCGAAGCATCCCCTGAGGTAGTCGCTGGTCTAGAGTCTACACAAGTACCTACACTAGCAACAGGCAACTGAGCAAGACTAGCACCTAAGCTAACAACACCAGAGTAAACAGAGTCAGAAACACTAGAGTCAACAACAGGATACATAGCATGAGGGTAAGGGAGGGTAAGCCGCACCGCGCTGGGGCTGACGCAGCCCCGACCCCGGAGCCAGCTGCTGACGCTGCAGAAACTACTGGCGCCGGACTACTGGCGCCGCAGGCGACACGAAGCACCCTCCACGCAACCTCCCCCGACCGTCCCACGCCCCTCTCACACACCCCCTGCAGAAACCCTAACTCCACTCCCACGTCACCCCCCCGGCTCCACTCCCCTCAGCTCCCACACCTCCACCCCCCTCAGCAGAAGCTGCAGTAGTGGGAGAGGAACAAGGAGGAGGGGAGAGGGAAGGGGAGCACCCACACCGCACACCCCCATGCTCGCCACCCCACACCCCCCACCACCGTGGAACGCACGGCGGTACGGGAGGAACGGGCAGCACGGGAGGGGGGGGGGGGGGGGACGGGACAGAAGGGGGGCCGCGTGCTCCTCCTCAGGGCGTCAAAACGGACGGGCAGGGGGGCGCGCGCAGTTCCCCAGGGCGCCGCGACGGACGGGCGGGGGGTGCGCGCAGCTCCCTAGGGCGCCGCGACGGACGGCCAGGGGCCGCGCGTGACGCCTCAGGGCGCCGCAATTTAAAGATGAGAACGAGAGAATGAATGAACTAATGTATAAAACAGTTGGGTACAAGTACTAACCCTAATTGGGTTGTACCCCTTATGGGCTACCCCACTACAGCCTACACAAATGTATAAGCTATAATGTTCTGACACACCCCCATCGACAAAGTGGGGGAGAACAAGCGGTCAAAAGACCAGTCAAGCAAAGCAAAGCAAGCTCAGGGTGGATCACAAAGTCACCACACAGTCCGAGCACAAGAGTAAGGCCACAAGGCCAGTTAACATGCAAGATCATATATATAAAGGTAAACAAGCAAGTGCAGGTATCGAAAGAGTACAGTACAAACAAGATCAAGAAGTGAGCAAGTGAGGCCACGTAGGCACAAGACCTAGCAAAGTACAGAAGCGCTGATGATCACAAGGCGGAAGGGCCTTGGTAAAGATATCAGCAGTGTTGGCCTCAGAGGCCACGTAGGTGAGGCGGAGCTGACCACGCTGCTGCAGCTCATGAGCCAGGAAGTAGCGCAGAGCAATGTGCTTCGTTCTGTGCTCCAGTCTGTGCTCCCGACACAAGGCCAGCATGGCCTTGTTGTCTACGTACAGAACTGGAGGAGAACGAGGCGGCTCTCCTAGGTCAGTCAGCAGGTAGGTGAGCCAGCGTAACTCCTGTGCAGCCATGGCCCCTGCGTAGATCTTAGCCTCACAGCTGGAGCTGAGAACAGAAGACGAGCGGGTAGACCACCACGAAACAGAGCCGGAGCCAAGACTGAAGGTTTAACCCTGTGACGACCGCTGCAGAGCCTGGTCGTCAGCCCAAGAAGCGTCAGCGTGACCCGTGAGGACCATTCGAAGTCACCCTCTAAGCACTAGCCCCATGCCCGACGTACTGCACACGTAGCGCAACACCCTCTTCGCTGAACCCATGTGCTCTGGTCGGTGTCTCCCGGGAGCAACATAGCGTGCCAAGATGCTAAGAGGGTATGCAAGGTCAGGTCGTGTGCAGGTCATCAGGTACAAGAGGCAGCCAACAAGCTATGGGTACGGGCCATTCGGCTCTACGGACTCATCCGAAGGCAGAGCTGAGAGCAAGTGGCGAGTAGGCAGAGGAGTGGCCTGAGGCGAGGAGTACGTGAAGCAAAGCGCTGAAGGACCTGCTGCACCATGTGTGACTGAGTCAGGGTAATGGTGCGCTGTGCTCTGTCCCGGGTGATCTGCAAGCCAAGGTAGCTGCGCAGTTCACCCAGGTCTGTGCACGTGTGTCTCTTCTGCAGCTCGGACTTCACGTGGGCGAGTCCAGCAGTGGCAAAGACCAAGTCGTCGACGTCCTCCAGGATGTAGAACGGTGGCAGAGAGGTGTCGGTGCGCAAAAACAGCGACGGGTCGGCTATAGAAGGAGCAAACCCAAGAGCCGCAAGTGTAGTCCTCAGCGTGTCGTGCCACTCACGGGGCGCTTGGCGGAGACCGTAGACTGGCCGCCGGAGACTCCACTGGGTACCAGGAGGAAACGACCCGGTGAAGCCAGGTGGGCGGCGAAGCCAGATCTCCTCGTGCAGGTTGCCCTGCAGGAAAGCTGTGCTGAAGTCAAGAGAGTGAAGCTCGTAGTCGCGCTGAGCGGCTATGTGCAGCAGCACCCGAAGAGTGGTCATTATTGGGGTGGGAGAGAAGGTCTGAAAGTAGTCAACTCCCTGCCGCTGACTGAAGCCTTGAGCCACGTAACACGCCTTGAAGACAGGCGGAGAACCCGGCGGCCGCTTCACCCTGAAAATCCACATGCCACTGACGATGTTCGCCCCAGGTGGGGGAACCTCGTCGATGTAGGTGCCTGTGGACTTCCAGGAAGCCATCTCTGCGTCCATGGTCGACTGCCATTGAGAGGAGTAGGGACCCTCGATCGCCTCAGCATACGATCGAGGAGTCGGGATGTCTGGTGCATCCGGGTCTCCCTCAGGGGCAATCAGCGTGGAGACGAGATGGGGCAAAGCAGCAGCAAAGCACTGGAACTCCTCTTGCCTTTCCTCAAGGACGTCCGTGCTAAGAGCACACTCACCCCCGACGGACGGAGGACAGACAGACTCAGACTCAGCAACAAGACTGGCAGCGTAGTCTAGACGACAGCGAGCAGCGAAGTCGATAAGCTCAGCAACTAGGGCAGACGCAGTAGTGGACTCAAAGGAAGGGTCAGTGACAACAGCAGCAAGAAGGCGCGTGACCGAAGGACTAGTAGTACGAAGGGAGTTAGACTCCGGGTTAGCAAGAGTAGGAAGAGAGGACTCTGGAGGAGACTGCAACGGGACACGCAGAAGAGTAGTGGAAGGACGCAGTGCCATATGGTGTGTGCCGGGGACCGCAGTAGGACGCGAACGCACACTACGACGACTTGTCAAATTATATTATTGTATAGGCTATAGTGGGGTAGCCCATATGGGGTACACATTTCTAGGGTTGCAGATTTGTATCACTTCCATTCCTTAGTCATTCATTCTCGTTCACATTTTCTCATGGTATCAAGCAGGTTCCCCCGTGGGAACTGTGCCTAGGGCCCACCACATCAAGTTTTTTTTTTTCCTGCCCGAAGCGCGCTCCGCCCGAGTCGAACTTCGGGCTCTCACCTCGTCGAGCCGACCTAGCGGCCCCTTTCCCCTAGCGGCCCCGCCGCGCGTCGCCTCGGCCCCGCCACCCGTCGCTTCGGTCCCGCCGCCCGTCGTCGCGGCCCCGCCGCCCTACCTCGCGGCCCCGCCGCCCGTCGTCGCGGGCCCGCCGCCCGTCGTCGCGGCCCCGCCGCCCTACCTCGCGGCCCCGCCGCCCTACCTCGCGGCCCCGCCGCCCTACCTCGCGACCCCGCCGCCCTACCTCGCGGCCCCGTCGCCCTACCTGGCGGCCCCGCCGCCCTACCTCGCGGCCCCGCCGCCCTACCTCGCGGCCCCGCCGCCCTACCTCTCGGCCCCGCCGCCCTACCTCGCGGCCCCGCCGCCCTACCTCGCGGCCCCGCCGCCCTACCTCGCGGCCCCGTCGCCCTACTTCGCGGCCCCGCCGCCCTGCTCAACGGCCTCGCCGCCCTTCTGCAGCGGCCCCGCCGCCCTACTCCTGCGGACCCGCCGCCCTACTCCTGCGGCCCCGCCGCCCTACTCAGCGGCCCCGCCACCGTTCACCAGCGGCCCTGCTGCCCTACACCGCCCGCGCCGCCCGAGCTGCCAGAACAGCCCGAGCCGCCCGAGCCGCCCGAGCCGCCCGAGACACCCGCCTGAGCCTGGGGGTGCTACGTCTGGGGATGCTGCGACTTGGGGTGCTGAGCCTGGGGGTGCTGAGCCTGGGGGTGCTACGACTTGGGGTGCTGAGCCTGGGAGTGCTACGACTGGGGGTGCTGAGCCTGGGGGTCCTTCGCCTGGGGGTGCTGCGTCTGGAGCTGCTGTGCCTGGGGGTGCTGAGTCTGGAGCTACTGAGCCTGGGGGTGCGGAGCCCGCAGCCGCTGGACCTGCTCGTGTGGCGTCTGGCGGTGCTGGGCTTGCTGGTTCTCCGGGTGCTTCGTCTCGGCGGGAGCAACTCTCTCCACAGGAGCTGCGCGAGTGGTTTGTCCGGCGCTGGAGGCGTACTACTGGAGCTGGTGCT